TCTCTCTCTCTCTCTCTCTCTCTCTCTCTCCCCCTCTCTCTCGTTTCCTCTCTCTCACTCTCGTTCTCTCCCTCCTCTCTGACTCTCTCTTCCCGCACCCAGAATCCATAGCTCCTTCTCAAGGAACGACAGCACCGAAGCTGGCTGAGCATCAACAGCAAAGCCTCTTCCCATGCATCGCCACTCTTCGTGATTTTGCCGGTCAACTAGAAAAATGTATCCAAGTACAGAAAGCTACTTCTCACTTTATAGCAACTTCCGGTAAACTTTGAGCCCTTCCACCCCTCATCGCAGACCGGTTTCACCAGTGGGACCGGCGCATGTCCGATCGGTCGCTTGCAAATCCCTTTGAGTTGAGCGCCGCAAAGGCTTTGCTGCATGACACCGTCCTTCTGAATTTTGTCGCTGTCTCTCTCTCTCTCTTGCGTGCTCTCTCTCTCTTCCTCTCTCTCCCTCTCTCTCGCTCTCTCTCTCTCTCCCTCTCTCTCTCTTTTTATCACTCCCTCCCATCAGCTTTACTCTAAACTTTCAAAGACCCAACATACATTTTTCTGAACGCAGAATCTCTCCATGTCATATTTAGGCGGGATGCCCTTCCAGAGACCCATATTCGGATCCACTGGTGTCCCATCCATCCAATAGATCTGCGTGTTATCTCCCCTGGTCATCTGCAAAATTTGAGGTGAGGGTCCTTACGCCTAAACGCGTTTCGTCTGAAACCCGAATTCCATAAATTGAGCCAGTTGAATTTTTGACCAAGCCACCACGTTTTGCAAAATCTCTGTAATTATTTTATGAATTTTTCACATCCAATTCATGAAATTGAAATTGCAGATCAACTGTTCTAAGGCCTTGAATTGAGAATTTGCAGAGTTGCGTTTGCAAAATTAATAAACCCATCGCAAAACCGAAACCATTTCTGCCACAAATCCGGCTAGGGGATGGTCAAAAATTTAGGCAAAATGGGTGTAAACGAAGCGGCATTTGGGCGAAACGGGTTTAGGCAAAGTGACCGGAGTTCGAAAAATTGAGCCGATGGCCCTTTGCCATCAAGACAAAGTCCGAGGAATCCGCTTGACACGCTTTTTTCTCTGCCTTTTTCTATTTTCTCTATTCTCTTTATTCTCTATTCGCTTTCAAAGTTTTGCGCAGAGTGTAGTGCCCAATAAAAAATTGGCCTTACCAAAATTCCGCCAACCCAAGCATCGTAGTTTGGAATGTTCTTCTGCATTAGACCTAAATCGTCTGGGTGTCGAGCCGAGATTAAGGGATACGGAATTTCTAGGTACCTTCCTTACCATAAATCGCCTGGTTCTCCTCGTCGGTCAGAATGGACGTCAAATGTGCTCCTTCTTCCACGCATTTCCCCTCGGCAGCCCAGAAGGTCGTACCGTCAACCATCTATAATCTACTTACGTCAATTCTTTTATTCGATACCTTGTAGCAACTCTTACTGCCCAACGAGGTCAGCCATCCCTGCTCGCATTTCTGAATTTTTGTTTGATACACTTTTTTCCATTGTACTCAATAACTTGCGCCTTTTCTAGATTAATGGTTATTTTTCTGTATTACGTTATAAACGGTCAATATTTAAACTTACATCCGCGGCAAAGCTACCCGCAAAAATGGAGAAAAAAGATAAGGTGGCCCAACATCGCACCGGAAGCCGCGGCGCCTGCTGTTTGGCCTTCAACTTTATACCCGCCGCCCTCATTAACATGCACGAAATTCCTTTTTCAGGGCCCGACAATTGCGATTTGATTTTCATTGGCCAAATCGAATTTTTATCGTGGAAAATCGACTGTTGGAGCCGAGATTGCACAGCAGATCAATGGATACTCGTAATAAAAGCAATGCCTTAAACAATCATAAATGATGAAGATAATGCGCAAGATAGTGGATAACGTGCAATAAGGAGTTGTGTCGTGTAACAAAAAATCGTCGATAAAAATTGTTTATTCCAACGAAACTGGCAGATTACGCGCTCGGCTTCGGGTTTCCGGGCTAAAAAAGGTTATTGGAAAAAGAAAGTAAAACAAACCTTCTTGCACATTCCCATGTGCTCCGTGTTGCAATCCCCGGGGAAATAACGATGCGCGGTAGCCGACCACAGATGGTTGCATACCTGGGATCAAGCGAAAAATGGATGTGCAATTATCCTCAATCCTCACCAGCAGACAGTTCTTTGTGTTGTCCGGTTTCTCAGGTAGATCCGAATTCCAATAGCCCGTCTCCCATTTCGATCCGTCGTTCCAGGTAAAGACACCGTCGGCGCCCTGAAAGAAGGTTCCTGTGGCAGATTCGGAAAATTGTCGCCGAAAGCTTGCTAACCAGGAAACGCAGGCGCGCTCTAACTATAAAAAACTATAAAAAATTTTGGGATAAAGGCTTGAAGCAAAAGCATGGTGCCCCACATTGCGGAGAACTTGCGCCTCCGGAGGTGCCCGCCCCACGGGGTAGCGGCGTGGAAAGGAGTTCCCCGTTGCTGGGATTCGAACACTATACTGCCGCCCTCGCGTATCGTACATAAGAAAAAACTGATAGAAAATAGAAAAACGTATTTTCCACCGAATTTCGACAATCCTATAAGACCCACCCGCTTCGCACCCAGCCATGTGTCTGTATCCTTCTCAACCGACTTGGCTTTTTCTGTAAACTTGCTTTGTGGCTAGGTTTTGGGCTTGCGGCGTTTAACCAGCTTTTGGATTACCTAGAATAAACTCTTTCTCCAGGAAAGAATTAGCGGACGCGAGTGTAGCGTTTAATCCAAGGCAGTACTCATTAGCGGCGCCACTCTTTGACGCGGGGGTCAACTAAAAATCGAAAACTATTTGTGAAACCGAGTCGGACGACAACGACCTCAGCGACCTACAGGGCAGGCCGCTTTTTTAGGAATACCTTATAGCACTTCCGCTCCCACTTCGATCCCTCCCACCCTTCGTCGCACAGCGGTGTCTCCAATTTTGGCGCCACCTGGCCGATAGGACGCTTGCAGATACCCTTGTACAATGCGTCACAAAATCCCTGTTCGAGGCTGCCATTGCTCTGAAAAACAGGAAACTGCAGCTAGTTCTCCTGCAGGGCTAGCGCGGTTCTCGCACTTGCTCAGAACGGTACGCAACCCACGTTTTTGCCGGATGCAATGTTCCCACATTTTGTATATCAGGCTGACCGGCCTTTTTCCAAATGACACTGTTCATGTCCATCGGCGTCTCGTCCATCCAGTGAAACTGCGTCTTGGCCTTCGTCATCTGGAATCGGTACACGAATGGTCAGTAGAGACGCATTTGGCTACATTTCCCCCAATCCCCGCGCGATCTGACCACAAGACCGAAATACGTTGTATCTAATTCTACTTCCTGCTAGCGTTGGACGACTGTTGGAGCGCTCGAATTCTATTTCCTAGAATGTGTTTTGCCCCCGATTTCTCAAAATTATTGAAAAGCATACCAAATATCCGCCGACCCAAATCTCTTTGCCTGGGATCTTGGTGTTGACCATATCTAAATGTGTGCGTCTTTGAACGTTTCCTACGGGCTACCCTTAGCCTAGATGTGAACTTTGGTACTTCTTACCATCGATAAACTGGTTCTCCTCATCGGTGAGGATCGACGTCAAATGCGCACCGTCCAGCGCACATTCCGCCTCCGCGTCCCAAAAGCTTTGCCCGTTGATCATCTGGAATCTGAAAATTTTAACCAGTGATTTTTTTTCACCTTGTAGCAACTGCCCGCCACTTTAGAAACCGTCCACCCATCTTCGCAGTCCTGAAAAGTTGTAGGTTTCCGCGACCGAATCACTGTGTAATCTACGACACACATTAGAACACACTGGCTTCAAAATGCCGATAAACGATTCCAAACATTTTTTCGGCGTTTGACACACAGTTTAACATCACACAGCTTACCTCGGCAGTAGCAGCCGCAAAAAGCAGCGCAATCACCAGGCGCACCGACATGGTAGTGGGCGATAGGTCCATTCGGAGCAGCAATCCCGCGCCTAAATGCTATAGAAAAATTTCCGAGTCAATACAACCTCATGAATCCCTTGAATTTTAAGCTGCCGCGTTGAGGCCGCCGGCTGAACTTTGGTCAGATCCGAGATCCCGAGAGCGATTATTATGGACAGCTAGTTTTTAGAATAGTCGATGTTCTTCGCAGGGAAATTTATTGTTTTGTCGTAGAAATGACATATAAAACGGATAAAAATGCGGGGCAGTAGATACTTTTGAACATTCGTATTACCCCAAAATAATTTGGCTCGGATGAACGGCAAATTACGGCGCACGATTTTAAATGACTTACTAAGGCCCTTATCGGTACTCTTTTCAGACGACGATCTGCATCAGTATAAACCAAAGTGTTTCTTACATCCTATTTTACTCAAAAGCATTTTCTTGCGCGTGTTTGCAACTTTATATGATTCAGCGATAGTAAACTTTATTTCAAACTCAATGTCAATTTCCTCTCAGGCCTTCGTTGGGCTAGGGCCCTTGTTTCCGGCCTGCAAGAATGCGAATAATATACTTGGTAATTGAGAAAATAAACCTTTTTGCACATTCCCATCATCTCCTTGTTGCAGTCATCATCATAATATCGATGCATGCTGAGTGATTTGACATGGTCCGCAAGGTTGCAGAGCTACAAGGGAGACATACAGGGTGCCCCAAAAAAGCACCCCTCGGGCATTTTGCCGTACTACATTTGATCGTTTCCAAAATTGGACCAGAGGTGTATCATGCCCTAAATAACCATAATTGTGTTATAGCACGATCGTTACAGTGTTTCTGGAGTTATAGCCAAACGCTGTTTTCTATTCGGATTTTTTTGCAGTTTTTCGGCTATTTTTTGGACTTGGCATCGATTTGCATCGACTTCCCCCCCCGCCCCCCTTTTTCGCCTTTGTTCCCCGTTTTTTTTTGTTTAAAAAGAATATTTAAAGAGGGATTTTTTTAAGGGGAAGAGGGTTTTCCCTCATCGTTTTCCCTTCATATTTTCGGATTTCCCCAATGAATATTCCCTTAAAACCCCTTAAAAAACTATTTTTTTGTTTATCTCGAAAATTACTCTTGGTGGCAGGATTACTACTACTTACTCAGGGTTGAGGTTGTTTACGGTCTGATACATCACTTGTCCGATTTTGGGGCGGATAGGAATACGGCCGAATCGGTGAGGTGCTTTTCTGGGAAACCCGCTAGTTTAACCTTCGATATTATTGAAATAAAAATGGATAATTGGAGCATCAGTACTCGGAAAAAAGGAAGTTTTTTCATCACTAAAGGCTTACCACAAGGCAATTTTTCGTTGTTTCGTTTCGCAACGGTACCCCGAGGGAGCTCCAGTATCCGTTTTCCCATTTTGACCCATCCAACCATTCAAAGTCATTGTTGGCGCCCTCAAACAAAAATCCTTGAAAGATTTCGCTATCAGAAACTTTCAGAAGTGCCGTATTTCATATCAAACGGGTTTCAACCATTATCGCTATTAATATAACACGAAACGAACCCGTTTGGCCCCTAGCCACGTGTCCTCGTTTTTTGCGCCCTTGGCCTTTTCTAAATCCTTGATGTAACAACTTCGTAATGTTCCTGCTTCTTCGAACCTACCAGCCTCCATCTATGTATTTATTGCGTGTAGCCTACCCAGAATGAACTCTTTTTCCGAGGAAAGTGAGAGCGGAAGCCAGGTCAGCACCCCATCCCAGGCAAGTCTCCCGAGCAGCGCCACTTTTCGAAACTGGCGTCAACTAAATTGGCCAACTCTCGGATTTGGACAGCTGTGCACGATTTGTAGTCATTAAAACTATGTGTAGCTGGTTGCAAGGTTTTTTAAAGGGCTAATCCAGCCAGAGAATTAGTGATCTAGTTGATTCTGAATCATTCTGAATCAGGGAAAAATTCTGCTAAGTCCGGAATGGAAGTTCCCACCGACGTAAACATGTCTTACAGTCAGGGTTGTTCACCGACGGACCTGTCGGGAAGGGTCCGGATCGGATCTGGATCGGATCCGGACGGGATCCGGGGATCGGATCCACAGTAGGATCGAAAGATCCAGTCCCAGCTCATCGCCGGATATCCGGATCAATGCGGATCCGGTGAAAAAGAGAGACCGGAAGTAATATTCTCCCGATTCTGATGCGGATTCGGTCGCGTTAATCCGCAAAAATACCATAGCCCAGAGGCAAGAACTGATCTTTATCTAAGAATTAGCACTTAGCTCCTTTGCATGATCCATTTTCCTTGGATCCGGATCGGATCGGATCCGCCCTGGATCTGGATCCGGATCGGATCCTAGCGGGTCGGATCCGGATCCGATCCGGATCCAGATCGGATCCATTCCGATCCGAAAATGACCAACCCTGCCTTACAGTTCATTCCGGCTGGATTAATTTACGCTAAACCTTATTCACATGATACAGCCATTAGCTACCTTGTAGCAACTGCCAGTCCACTTCGACCCCTCCCAACCCTCCTCGCAAGTTGGCGTCTCTAGCTTCGGTGCCACCTGGCCGACCGGTCGCTTGCAGATCCCTTTGTACAGCTCATCACAGGAATTCTTGCTCCAGGCTCCCATTGCTCTAATAAAGCTATTGGTCATCGGATCAGCTGCTCGCCAAGATTCAGCGCCTCAGAACCAACTCCGGCCTACTGTTTTGCGTGTGCAGAATCGCCGCTCTGTGATGTCTGGCTTGTTGCCCTTGTTCCAAATGACATTCTCGAGGTCAACAGGTGTACCGTCATCCAGTGGATCTGTGTCTTCTCCCTCGTCATCCGAAACACCTTAATATTTCTTACGTCGTAAATCTTGCTTGCTAAATCGGTGCTCATGCAGTTCGGGGGGCCAGTCCAAAATTGGTGGTCAGAGGTTATGAGGTGATCCCTTCCGCTACTTGGTTTTCACTTGATCTAGTCTTAACATAGCTTTAACTATGCTTCAAGCTCCGGCTTAATCTTACTAAGAGCTTAAAGCTTATCAAGGTAGAGTTTAAAAAAGGATCTTTGGAGCGTCTATGTAGTCGAAAACCCGACTGCCCCCTTCAAGTGCATTAGCACCGCAAAATTAAGTTCTACCAACCAGCCGCCAATCCATGCGTTGTGGCCAGGAATTTTCTCGGCCATCATTCCTATCAAGGGACAATGGGTTTCTTCTGAAGGTGATTTCTGTGGCGCTACTTGCAACTAAGGCCGGAGGCATCGCAGAGGCGAGGCTGGTTACACACCCTCGATGAACTGATTTTCTTCATCGTTCATCAGCGACGTCAAATGGGCTCCTTCCAACGCGCACTCCCCCTCGGCATCTCAGAATATCTGCCCGTTCACCATCTACAAAATCGTGCCCGAGATATTCCAATATTTTCACCTTATAACAGCTGTTCATCACTTTGTAGAGGTGTCCATCCTGCTTCGCAGTCCTAGAATTTTCCGCGTCATTGGTTTGGATTGGTGTTTAAATAAAATTGGTTGAGAACCTGCACAAGGTCGTCGAAGGCAAAAGCCTACCTCCGGCAACTACGATACCCGCGAGAAGCGGGGTGATAGAAAATTGGTTGAACATCCCACCGGAAGCCAGAAATGCTACATGGTTTGCCCGGCGCTTCGTATACGCCTTCAAAAAAAGTCGGTTATTTCCAATTCAGGGAGCAGCTCTCGAATGCATAACCTAGAGCTCTGGTTTTTGGTCGCAGAGCATCAGGTAATTTAGGATTCCGATAGTTGGTAACAATGTCAACTCATGAGGTAGGAAGGTCTTCCAGGAAGGTACCACCAGGTAGGAGTTCGTGATTAGCCTTTTCATCAAGCACTCGGCCTTGTTCATCACCTCCCCTCATTGTGTTTAACCCACTGGAGCTACCGCCTTGAAGAAATTCATGAGACAACCGACGCCCGCGCCTGCCTTGATCAAAGCACAACAGAAAGATTCTTCTCCGAGGAAAAGGCCTCATAAAAGTCAAAACATGGGCCGCGACAAAAGATTTTCAGTGACTGCCGACCCCACTTTCAATCAGCTATGGTTGGAAAGGGTTCTTCTTACTTTTTGGTCTCCGTGGCTACCGTAGCCGCCGAGGGTTGGTTTGGGTTTCAGCACGCGAGGCGTCATATACCTCTTTCTAATGGGAGTCTGGTTTCCACAGGGGGCCTGGTCCGTCTTGTCAGTATTTTGAGCTAATTCTGAAGCTGTATTCAAATTTGCGAAACAACCAGACCAGAGCTGGTAGCAATTTTAAAGAGCACAAAAGTCACAAAATGGCTTGATTTCGAGGCGATTCCGTCATTTTTCGCAACCAAAGGCTTCTAAGCCTCTTTGGTCTCGTCGTTTCGTCATTTTTTAAAACGCTTTGGAATCAGCGCAAATTTTACACAAGTCTGAGTCGGTACCGTACCGAAACCCGATTGTCACAAAGAAACCTATCGTTGTTAGTTGGGCTGTGAACCTGGGTGGACGCTGGGCAGAGGCACTGAGTCAGTGTTACAAGGTGAGATTCGCGATTGCCTAAAAATCGGCATGTGGCTTGGAAGCGCGTCGACAGCCTCGCCGACTACGACAAAGGGGCGTTCGAAATCTGCAAAGGCCTTGACGCCGGCCTGCCCAGCATTCACTCGCAAGCCGAGAATGACGTGATACACTGTTGGTGTCTGCCCATTTACCACCAAAACTGCTCACCGTAAAGTGTTTATTTTCGTTTCTTTTTCTTTCTTCAAATTTAGCCCAGCGACTCTCATTACAGGTGGCAGATTCCTGAGGCTCGGGATTTTTCGGATGACAAATTCGAATTCCCGAAATCGCGATTTTGACCGATTTGCGGGCCCGTCTTGACACTGAGAGGCTACGAGGCACTCCGTTTCCAGCTACATGATTTTTAGCTGAAGCACAGGCTTAACTTTACTTTATTAAACTTCCCCATTAGCAAAATTTCCACTGACTTCAACCAAGGCCCAAGCCCAGGCTTAGCTTAACCTTGGATCTCCGTAAAAATTCAAATAGGTGCCATTAGGGTTTAGCTTACATGTCCAGGCTTAGCGGGTCTTATTCCAGCCTTAGGTGTGGCTTCAAAGAAGTTACTCACTCACAATCAGTGGTCAGGCTCAGACTTACTAGGGATGCCTTCCAACTACCATCGAGTTTCGACTTGAAAATTGGTGAGTTTATAGAGTTTGACTTACGATTCCCCGTGCTGAAAATTTACTCTCAATCCACGTCCATAGGCGGCTGAATATAACAAGTTTAATTTTGGCAAAAATGCATGATTTTGCGCGTGTCGATCCCCGCCGCCACAGACCCAGTCGTGGAAGGACAGAACCTCTCCCAACCTCAGGCGCAGCAGCGTGAAAGCTCCCGGTGAGCTCCGATTCAAAAGCTTTTTGATTCAGGGTTCAGATTCAGAAAGCCACCCCCCTTTTTGAAAAAACTTTTCCGGGCCTTTTGCCAAATTTTTGCCTGCATTATTATTTTGTATTCTCTGGCGGAATCAAAAGATTTGAAGATTCTCGGGGCAGTTAAAATGATTTATCTATTCTTTGAAGATACTCCAGACTTTCCCCGTGTTTCTTCATCCTTCGCTACAGCATCGTAAAACAATCCACATAGTTTGGCAAAAAGCTCCCCGGAGTTTTTCGGAAAAAGTTGGTGTCTGGAAGTGAACCCCCGACCAAAGTTTTGAAGCAACCCCTACCTCGAGGGGACCGCTTTGCCGGAGAGGCCCAAAACCCCTCTCCACACGCCCATTCCCAGAGTTTGGCCAGGGCGACACGCAAACATCATGCATTTTGCCCCCCAAACTGTTACTTTCACCCGCCAGGGCGATTTCGTTAAACCCCGGGCGCTCGCCCCCCCAAGCTCAAGCTCTATAAGCTAAAACCCCCCAGTCGAATGTGATAATGAAAGTCACCCCCAACCCCCCCCTGACCACTGATTATCGGTGATCCGAAATCGGGTCTCTGCCGCAGAATCACGGACCCTTCTTACCCCCTTCCCTGTCCCCTTCCAGTCTGTTCAATGGGTTTGCAAACCTAAAATTTAAATGTCAATATCTCCATACAACCCGTTTTCAGCAATGGAAATACCCAACCAGCTCGTTCGACTCGGTGCCAAACGGGTAAGGGAAACATTTTTCTTGTTTTTTTTTCGAAAAAGTAACGTCAAAATTAGGTCAAAGTTTACTTTACCCCCCTCCCCCCAAGCTGGAGGTCTCAAAGTTTTCAGTGTTTTCCTTATTTTGTCGAGATTTTCGTAATGCCATTTGATAAAGCGTCAAAAAAATATACTCAAAGCACCAATTTAGGCCACCAACAATGTAAATAAAAAAGGTACCAGGGTTGAAAAGCCGCTCCGTGTTTTTCTCCAGCCTGGCCCCGTCTAACCCAGTGAAGTCTTCCTCTTCATACGTCTCGCGACTCCCTATGGGGGAAAAATGAGGAATTCCACTCTCTCATGTTATATATGACTTCCGCCACTTCCGAGCGTATGCTAATTATTTCCTAACAAAAGAAGGCTGTTGGATTTTTCACAAAACTCAATTTTAATGTCGAATAGCATAATTTGCAAATCTGATATGCGTGCAGTCATCTCGAGGACGTTACGCACCCCATGACGTATTATGCGTATGTGCCTACACTCTTCCCCTCTTGAGATATCCTCCGGACACGGTGAGCGGAAGTTGCATTCAAATGCACACCCACACACACAGGAACTTTTTTTTTATATATAGTAGGATAGCTAAAACCTTCCGGCTGGGGGGTAAATTAACAGGCGCTTTGCGAGAGACGCGAACAAGGCCTGGCACATTTATTAAAACCTTGTTTTCGACACCTTCTTAAAGATCATGGTCGAATTAGTAGGGTGGGATTGTTGTCAAGTTTAAAAAAGTTTAATTTTTTGGGCTAAGTGGGCCTCAAAGTCCCCCATACCGAAAAAATATATGAAAACTACTGCACCGAATTTAGTGAAATTTTTGCGACAATACCTAATTTGGGGCGGGGATCATTTTTGTAATACATCGCGAAACCTGAAAGTGGCTTGGTTTTATAGGTATATTGCGTATCAAAGCAGTTTTTGCGGAAATAGTAGTTTTACGGGTCGCCAGGCGCTTAACCACTAAAGTCAAAAAATGAGCGCGAAAATTTCTGCATTGGATGGTGTATCTTCTGGAGCGCTCCGCATTGCCTAAAAAATGAAAAGAGTGAGTTGAATGTGGCGCCAACGCTGCGGTGGCTGTTATTCACCTCCTGATGATATTAAAAACCAGTGAATATTGAGCATAATGTTATCTAAGCTATCTGTTTCAGGTCAGCGGTGCCAAATATGATTTCATCTGGATGAATGGCTCGCCGATGGACTTCAAGAAGTTCAACGACTATTACATGGACAACTCGAACGGAAATGAAAATTGCTTGGATGTGGGTTTTGGTGCTATCGGCTGTTTTGGTGAACCAGCAATTACTATTTTCTCTCCTTAAGATGTCGCACGGAGATACCTGGAACGACATCCCCTGCCACATGCCCGAGCTGGTCGTGTGCCAGAAGAAAGCCACTGTAAGTAGATGTGAACAGACCAACGTTGACTTTTCACTTGTTTTCAGCACGTATCGTCCGGGAAATAAGCACCGAGTTGATGTGGATAAATTATACATTTTATGTGTATTTGCAAGCATATACTAACTCACACGCAGGGGCGTAGGTGACCTAAGTTACCGGCGAAGGGCAGCGACATTTGGCAGGGGGTAACCGGCAATTTGTTCGAAAGTTCAGCGCCGCAGGGGAAAATTTTGCAAAAAAAAAGGTTACATGTTAAAGGGCACGCTCAGGGACGTTTTTTTGGAAAAAAGCAAAGATAACTGCCGCGGCCGGGGGTCGAAGCCGAGTCTGGGATCGCCAGGCGGGAACCTGGGAGGCGTGGATGCTTACCAGTCAGCCACAGCTACAAACGCAAAGGAGGGAAATTGCCTGCCACGGGACGGGCACGCAGTGCGCATGGTCCCTACGTCCATCGGGTGTACACGTTGGGACGAGTACACGGCCCCTCCCTGAACGTGTGCTTTCAACGT